ACCTAGAAGTGATGAGGACGAATGTGGAGAAAGGCTACGTAAAAAGGTTGAATCCTCAAATGCAGAASTTGAAACAAGTTGGTACTTACCACATTTCCCTGTCGTGCGAGAGGACAAGCAGACTACCAAAGTGAGAATAGTTTTCGACTCAGCGGTGAGATACGGGGGGATGAGTCTTAATGATGCGATGTTGCCAGGACCGAAACTACAGCGAGATGTAGTTGATGTACTGCTGCGGTTTATACAAAATCCCGTAGCCCTAGTTGCCGATCTGACTGAGATGTTTTCTCAAGTTGTACTTGCAGACAAGGACAGACGGTTCCACCGCTTCTTGTGGCGGGATATGGACTCTATCAGAACTCCCGACGTCTACGAGGCGGTGAGACTTCCCTTTGGCGACAGAGCATCCCCATTTCTTGCGCAACATGTGGTAAGGCAACACGCTGAAGAGAACAAGGAGGATTACAACAAATGTACATGGACGATATTATGGCATCTTTGCAGACCGTAGATGAGGCCATACACGCACGAAAGGAACTGACAGCACTTTTCGGAGCAGCGGGGTTTAAAATCCGCCGCTGGTGCAGCAACCAAATCAAGGTTCTGGAGGATGTCCCCCCAGAAGACTGTGTGGCCAATGTGAATATCGAGGAATCAKAACTACCTTGCTTGAAAACGCTTGGTGTTCAGTGGAATGCAAAGGAAGATACATTCTCATTCAAGTTTAGCCCACCAGAAGACATCGAGTACACAAAACGGGGTTTCTTAAGGAGATTGGCTACGTTGTTTGATCCACTACAGATCCTTGCTCCATTCACAATCAAAGCTAAGATGATGATGCAGGAAACATGRCTGCTCGGGCTAGGATGGGATGAACAGTTTCCCGACGCGCTCAAAAAGAGATGTGAAGAGTGGTTCGGGAAGTTGTCACATCTGTCTCAAGTTCAAGTACCGCGATGCTATCGCTTGGCAGCAAAGGAGGTCATCGACACGACGATCCACACTATGACTGATGCCTCACAGTTGGCCTATGCAGCAGTCACGTATGTACGCAACGAATACGACAACGGAGAGGAGACGGTGCGATTTGTAGCAGCCAAAGCCAAGGTGACGCCAACGAAGGCTGTAAGCATTCCACGACTGGAACTGATGGCTGCTGTGCTTGGTCTGCGGTTGCAACACTACTGGAAGTACCCCACGCCACATCTGTATTCTGGACTGATAGCATGGACGTGATCTATTGGATCCAAGGCCAGTCAAGACGATACAAGACGTTCGTAGCAAATCGGGTATCGGAAATTCACCAGCTGTCGACCCCCAGTCAATGGCGCTACGTGCCTACCAAGGAGAATTGTGCTGATGCCACGCGAGGCATCGACGCAGAAGTCCTGACGTCCGATCATCGCTGGTTCACGGGACCGCAATTCCTATACCAGAGCGAAAAGGATTGGCCTGTGCGAAAATGTGCGATGGAGAACGAACCTTCCCCGGAGTGCCTTATCGAGCTGACAAGATTGACGTCAGTCATGACAGTGAAABCGCTTCAGCGATTGATCGACCCTTTAAAGTACTCAAGTTGAACAAGATTGCGCCGAGTGATGGCATGGGTACGGCGAATAGCGAACCATTGGCTGTGCAAAGTCAAGAGTGGCTCGAACAGTTTACAATCCAACGCGGGCGAACCGCTGACACCTGATGAGCTTAGTCATGCTGAGAAGTTGCTAATAAACAGTGCGCAAGCGGAGAAATTCTCAGAAGAAGTAAAGGACCTTAAAGCTGGGCGCAGTGTACAAAGGCAGAGTTGTTTGAAAGCGCTCAACCCATTTCTTGACGATGATGGGGTGCTGCGAGTGGGAGGCCGGCWGACAAGAGCAGATCTACCATTTGAGGCAAAGCATCCGGCGATCCTACCGAAAAGACACCACAAAACGTCACACGTCTTGTCATCGCTGATGTCCATTATCGCAGTCGCCACATGGGAGTAAATCACGTTCTTGCAGAAGTACGACAAAGATATTGGATTATCGACGGACGACAAGAAG